GCTTAGCTCGAATTCATTCCAGGCAGCCATTTCCGCTTATTGCATGAAAATTAAGTTCCCCGTAGGGAATGAGGTCGGAGTGGTGACTGGAGACCAGCTGCAGTCTCGACGGTGTTACGAGGTCACATTGAAGACAGCCGAGGCGCAAAATAATAGAAGGAGGGATGACTTACCTGAATGCTCCCACCAGGAGAAGAAACAAGAATTGGGGATGAGCTCTCAGGACGAGTTTATGGAAGTTGAATTGATAGAGGGGAGCCCTGCAAAGACGACCAAGGTAGGTTGGCATCTGGCGGTCGACATTCAAGCGCGCTGAATGCATTTGTGGATGTGTTTGCTTTTTTGGCCGACGACCTCACCAGCATCAGTCCCAGGGTGGCAGAGCACAGGTTGAACAACGACCCAACCATGAGGCCGGTGAAGTAGAAGAGGAGGCATTTTGGCGCTGAGTTAGATGTGGTCATTGAAGTTGAGGTGGAGAAGCTGTTGAAGGTGGGGCATATACGATCCATCCAATTCCCGGAGTGGTTGTCCAACCCAGTTATGGTTAAAAAGGAAGAAGAAAAGTGGAGGATGTGCATAGACTTCAGGGATCTCAACAAAGCTTGCCCTAAAGACCATTACCCCCAACCACGTATTGACCAGCTCGTCAACTCTACAGCCGGGTACGAGTTGTTGAGCATGATGGATGCCTCCCAGGGTACCGCCAGATCCCTCTTGCCGAAGAGGACCAAAAGAGGGTTAGCTTTGACATCCAAGGGCACTTATTGCTACATCGTCATGCCTTTCAGATTAAAAAATGCGGGAGCCACTTATCAACGGTTGGTATATAAAATGTTCAAAGGGCAGATAGGTCAGAATATGGAGGTCTATGTTGATGATATGCTGGTGAAGAGTAGGAAGGCAAATGACCATGTGGCAGACTTGCGCGAGACCTTCGATACTTTGCGACGATATGGCATGAAGCTCAACCCAACCAAGTGTAAGTTCGGGGTAAGGTCGGGCAAATTTCTGGGTTACCTGGTGACGAAGAGGGGCATTGAAGTCAACCCAGAAAAGGTACAAGCGGTCACGGAGATGCAGGCACCAAAGAACTTGAGGGAGGTGCAGATCCTCACCGGACGCCTAGCAGGGTTAAGCAAGTTCATAGCTCAATCCGTGGAAAAAGGTTTTCCGTTCTTTAGGGCTTGGAAGAAGGGATCTCGTTTTGAGTGGACGTCGCAAGCACAACATGCATTCGAGAGGTTGACATATTTTCTGGCTGAGCTCCCTCTACTTACAAAACCAGAGCCAGGCGCCACATTAGTCGTTTATCTATCAGTGGGACACAAAGCCATTAGTTCGGTGCAGATAAAGGAGGAGCAGGGACAACAGAAGCTAATATACTATGCTAGTCAGATATTGCAAGGCGCCGAGCGCCGATATTCAGACGTGGAGAAGGTCGCCCTGGCGCTTACCTCTATAGCTCGAAAGTTGCGTCCCTATTTTCTAGCGCACAAGGTTATGGTCTGGACTAACTACCCATTCAAAGACACCTTAGGTCGCCCTTCGGCCTCGGGGAGGATGGTGAAATGGGCAGTTGAGCTAGGCGAATACAATGTCCACTTTGAGGTGCGAAAAGCTATTAAGGCCCAAGAGTTAGCTGACTTCATACAGGAGTGCACATTGGGAGCCGAGGCTTGACCTTGGATGGTGTATGTCGATGGCTCGTCGGCAGTAGGAGGAGCAGGTCTCGGCATCTTGATGGTCACACCAGACAAAGATCACTTGGAGTTTGCGGTTAACCTGTCCTTCAGAGTGTCAAACAATGAGGCAGAGTACGAAGCTCTCATCAAGGGAATTCACCTCGTCTTGAAGGAAGGAGCTCGACAAGTGATCATTCACTCGGATTCTCAGCTCGTGGTCGAACAAATCAGGGGTGAGTATGAAGTTAAGGAGGAGCGCATGAAGAAGTATCTGGTGGAGGTCCATGCGATGTTAAAGGGATTTGTGACTTGGGAGTTGATACATATACCACGGGGGGAAAACGGTAGGGCCGACCTACTTTCAAAAATGGTCGCGTCACTTGTTGACTGTCGATCTCGCTCGATCACGCTGATGGATATAACTAGGAGCACCTTAGACTAGGTACTAGAGGTTGAGGAGGAAAAGGATTGGAGGTCGCCCCTAATACAATGTGTTATACCACAACCGCTCGACCGCCCCTCTCAAACTGGATTGCGCTTCCTTGATCGTCGGTACCTGCAAAGCACGCCGGGTGTGGTCCCGGCATGGACACTCCGACGCTCAAGTCAGTGGTGGTGTTTCGGAGAGAAAACGGCAGAGTAACGAGATAATATGTGTATGTGTGTTGTGTAAAATGAATAAACCTTTGCCCTTTTATAGGTGAAGTTGAAGACTCCTCATGAGACAAGAAGTCTTTCCCGTGTGAATCTCTTAATCAGGTCCAGAGATCCCCGAATCTTGAGAGTCCTTGAGGTTGTGAACCTCTTCATGACTTGGTCACGAAGCCACCTCCGGGACCTGGTCCCCTCGGCAGAACCCTCTGGCCGAGCTGCTCAGAGGCCGTGGTGCCTAGCCGCTGAAATGCCAGCCACTTGAGATGCTAGTTGCCTAGGCGATCTCACCTGCCTAGCTGTCGCAGCTTGGCCTAAGAAATAGAGAATTTATTCACGCGAGCTATTATGCAAAGTGCCGCAGTACGGCCTTTTGTGCCGAACTGAGGGCGCCGAGCTAGCTGGGGGTGCTGCCGAGCTGCCCGCGACTCCGAGCCAACCACGATGCCAAACACCTACAACGTTGAGACGCCGAGCTCCCCTCTTTATCCTGTCCGGCCGAGCTGCTGGGTCACCAAACACCCACGACGCCGAGCTTCCGCGAGCGTGACGAGCCAAAAAACACCAAAATGTCGACCAGCCAACTGCGACGCCGAACTAGAAAGCGCCGATCTAATGAGCCAAGAAGTTGTGCCACCGAGCTTTCCCCGACCACCGAGGCCACCTGCCGAGCTGCCACCCGCTGAGGTGCCGAGACGCCGAGCGCCGAGCACCGAGCTGCTCACCATCCGCGACGCCGAGCTGAGGATGCCGAGGTGACGAGCCATAGGCTGCTGAGTTGATGACGCCGATGTCGAGCTCCGCCCTGTGGATGCCAACGCCGATCCGCCGAGCTGGCCGCCTGCCGAGCTATACGTATGAAGAGCTGCCGACACCAATCTACCGAGGAGTCAACCTTCCCACATGCCGACCTGCCTACGCTGAGTTGTCCGTGGTGGTGAGCTGCCAAGCTCGCACTATCCACATGGCCGAGCTGCCGAACTCGCGTGGGTGCTGATCAATCTGGGCTGACGAGCTGTCGAGCTCGCTTTTTTAGGTGTCAAGGTGACCACCAAGCTTACACATAAATTCATGCACCTAACTACCCCATCATCCCCTCACATGCTTTCACCTACCTTCCATCTTTGAAAGTGACATAAAGCAACTTGGTCACCAAGTTTTATTCTCCACCATGGATTGAATTTCAAAATCAAAGGCCAAGATTATCCAAGACTCAACAACCCTCATTCACCTCTCCAACTATAAATACTCATCCCCCATCCTCTCATTTCTTCACATTAATTCTTCTCTTTTTTCCTCCCTTTCTATTCCATAATTTCTCTCTCTAAAAAATCTTTCAGTCTCTTTTAGACATCCGGCAATTTTTCTCTCTACGAGCTCACACCTCCCGCCAACCACGTCTTCTCGCCGACGAGCTCCCACCGGCCCGACAACCACGCACCAAGCCGACGACCTCACCGCGCACACTGATCTCCCGCCGAGCACGCTGAGCTCCCGTTGTCCCGACAACCACGCACCGGCCTCTTCATCTCCTTCACATCGTGTCGGCATCGGCAAGTTTCATGGGTACGCCGACCTCCCTTCACTACTTTATTTGTTAAAATTGTTTTTGTAATGCACCACCTCATTATGCCTTCATTTTACCATTTTGTTGTCATTTTCGCTCGTCATTTCGCTACGTACACCCTAGAACAATCCATCCATACGAATAACACTAGCTCTACCTCACCGAGCAACACTAGCTCTACCTCCGCGAGTAATACAAGCTCCACCTCTCCTTCTACTTCACATTCTTCACTCCGAGGATCACCCTCCATTGCCATAGCTCTCCCGGCCTCGGCGTCCATGACCTCCAATGTGCCTACCTCTTCTACTACAAAAGAGGGTGTCACCCGCTCCCGAGCCATATCCTCCAATCCGATCTCCTCTTACTCAAATACCCAAATAGCCTTGCTTGTCAAAAAAAAGGAGTTGCCCCGAGGTTAGGAACTTAGAGTTCCACGACTCGGTGACTCCTACGAGAATCCCCCATCCGACTCTTATAGCTTTCTTTCTAGACCAAGTGAATGCCGGGCTGAGATTTCCTGTACACCCCGACCTACTCCAGCTGAGGCGACTGCACCATTTACCTTTGAACCAATTTCCCCCCAATGCGATCCACCTTCTTATTGGCTTTATTATGGTATGCCGAACCCGCCTCGGCGAACTTGATCCCAAGCTATATTTTTACTACCTCAGTCTTAGAACGAACGACACACCCTACCTTATGCGCCGCAACAATGTCCACTTCTTAGACCAACCAAAATAAAAAATCCATAACTGGAGAAACAAATTTTTCTTCGTGCGTCCGCCTCTCGATACCTTCGAATTTCTACCGGATTGGCTAGACAAGCAACTCAGACAGCGCAAGAACCCAAAGCGAAATGCTGAGTACGACACATGGAATGATCACCCACTCCACGTGGTGAAGCTTACCTCCCATGATCGGCTTCTTCAACATTTCCGACTGTCCGAATGTGCCGCAGACCCCGTCGATGATATAGGTAGGCATATGGTGTCGTGGGCGACTACCACACCGCCCACTTCCTTTTGCATATCATTACGTTTCGTTTTACATAAGTGTCATCCTCATGTACTTATTGTTTCTTGCCTCGTGTCTTGCAGAAGAGCTTATGGTGATCGTCGCCTCCGCCAAGGTCCCGAAAGCTGCCGTCATCACCAACGAGACCCTGTCGGCTTCAATCACTGCCGACGAGGTCCCGGTGCCCCCCAACCAGCAGGCGACCCGCCCTGGGGACACCGACAAGGTCACCTCTCAACAACGTTATCGCAAGCCACCCTCCGCGGACTTTACAAAGAAGCGCAAGGCCACCACACTGGGTAAGAAGGAAACCATCTCCAAGTCGAAGCACTTTGCTGTCAACAAAGACACATCGGAGACCAGCACCTACTTCCTCTCCATCTTCCCCGAACGTGAGACAACCAAATGGCCAACTAAGCAGGAGCGAGCTGACGCCACAATGTACCACCTTAGTCAGGTATAAACCCATGACTTAACTTTTATGCCTTAAAATTTAATAACACGAAGTTAATGCGCGACTCCCTCTACTTCCTTAAACAGGTCATGGCCGGTTTAGCTCCCATGCTCAGCGAGGCTTTGGAGGGCGACCCCGACGATGTGGAGGAGCTGAAGGGCGAGGTGGCCAAAAGAGATGATCAACTTGCTACCCTCAAGAAGGCCCTCGCTCAAAAGAAGGCCAAGAAGGAAAAGCTCCGGGGCGAGCTAGAAGCCAAGAACGCCGTGAAGGCGCTTCGACAGTCAGTCGATGAGTTCGTTGCCCAGGCCCATGAAAAAGGCTGAGATTCGTTTCTCTCCTCGGACTTCGGAGGTTGCTTCCTCAAGTGCTACCGTGTCGAGCTGCTGTCGCGTTACCACGACTCAACGGCTTCCCTCCATCGAGTCGTCACATCTTACCTTCAGTATTTCCATAAGAGAGTCGCACGGACCCAAGCCGAGGCGGAGACCCTAGGCTTCACCTTCTCTGTGGATGCTGACGAGTTAACGAGAGGCCTCCCTAACCTAGTGGATTGGAACGGCGACCAGTCTCTCCCTGCGACCCATCCTTGGTGGGAGTCAGCCGTAGAGGCCGCTGCAAAGGAGGTTGAGAAGACCCGCGAGTAGAAGCACCCTACGCCACTTTCATAGATTTACATGTAATTTTCTTTTGTGTTGAAGTAGATGTGTTGATCGAACTCCTGTTATTTTGGCATGTAACCTTGAACTCGTTTAGTCGTATGTTTTGGTATGTTCAATGAACCATGTTTTATGTTTCCAACTTCTATGAACTGCCTTCACTCATTGCCTGTTGGCACCATGCCTTAGTGAGACATTTACTTTTCGTCGTTACTTATATAACTCGTCACTGAACGAGCAGTAATATCTCTCCTTTCGTGACGAGCTTCATTCACCAAGTCTATCAAATACTTAGAATCGTGACAATGGTCTTTTGCACCTAGCACAATTATTGCTAAGTCTTTTAAGACTCGCCTTCCCAACCTCATGCGACAGCCTTGCAAACTATAGAGGTTGTCACCTAGATCCGCGAGCGTAGATGAGACTAACAGGCTTTCACCCTACAAGGGTCGTCACCTAGCTCTGCGAGCTTAGGTGAGGCTGACAGGCTTTCGCCCTAAAGAGGTCGTCGCCTAGCTCCGCGAGCTTAGGTGAGACTGATAGGTTTTCGCCCTAAAGAGGTCGTCGCCTAACTCCGTGAGCTTAGGTGAGACTGAAAGGCTTTCGCCCTACGAAGGTCGTCGCCAAGCTCCGTAAGCTTATGTAACGTCCCACTTTGATTTTAAAGAAATTCCGGACTTTCAAAAAAATCAGAATAAATTTTTCAAAATTAATTTCAAACATTTGTGGCGTTACTCATTTATTTCAAATCATTACCATAACATAAATTATCAATTCGCCCAAATTGGGTTCCCAAAATAAAACATAAGTTCTCAAGAGATAACAATGTCAACGGGGCATCTCCCCAACAGTATCTCAATACTTCATAAATTCTCAAAGTTCGAAAGTGCATAAATCATAAATAGTCATAAATGTAGCGGAAGCAAAATCAATTAATAACCGGTCTCACAGACCAACTACCACTCGCTCTACTCTGTCGTTGTGCCTGTCTTGCTTAACTGAAACGTGAATTTCAGGTGGGGATGAGCACAGTTGGAAATCTTAGTGCTCACCACTATGCAACAAACATTTTATAACGTAAATGGAAATTATGATCACAGCATGTATAAGAATCAATCAAGTATCCCCAAATTTTCATCATAAATTCACAGTGTTCAGACTCATGTGCACATCTATACTAATAGACTACTACCGGTAGATGCATCGAATGCCCCTCGGGCTTCTATTGAACGCCCCATGGGCTTTACGTCTATGCCCTCCAGTCTTACACATCGAATGCCCCATGGGCTTCTATCGATGCCCAGTCAGTAGAAGTAACCCCTCATGTTTATTTTCATACATATGGGACAACCGTTCGACGGCCAGTACAGCTCACATCGAAGGCTACATGATTCGTAATCATACATTGATCATCACAAGTAAGGTAAACAATTTATTGCATAGACAATTTTAATAAAACCCACCTGGTAAATCGGTAGAAAAGGCACACAAACAGATCGGTAGGTCGAGGGCTCGACTCTTCAAACACCTACATTAATTCCAGATGCTATAATCAACATCTATTTTGACTTAAATGGAAATCACAATTATTCTTAGCCGAACTTGATTCAACTAAGTTGTTCGTGAAGTCCTGTGGACGTTGGAACACTTAGACTCGACACTAAAACTCAACCAAACACACATGGGAGATCACATAATCCAAAACAAATATTGACTAAGTCAAAACACACAAGAAACATTTTAAGGGCCAATTTACAGGTTTTAACATAGTAGTATATTTTGAAGATAATAACCAATAAACACATGGAATTAGTCGGTCAGGTTGTGCTAGGAATTTAACTCTGAAATTTTAACCAAAAATACATCTCTCAGTACTTAGAAAAACTACCCAGTTTCATCCTCAAATTCAAAGTACATTATTTTATAAAATTCAAGCAAGTTTATGAAAAAAACGAATATAAATTTACATCTAAACCTAATGAACGAATCCTGACCTGATACTTTTACACCACAGACTACAGCATGAGAGTGACAACATATCAAAATTTCATCTCTGGACATTAACTGTACAAATTTTAAATGTTCCTACAAGTTTCAGCAGTTATCAAATTTCAATTAAAACCGAACCAAATTGAACTCCAAAACTTCTCATCTTTTAACAGCATGCAAATACACATAAAACTAGTTCTCCAGCCATGTTTCAGAATTTTTCAACAACTAACCGATTTATTATAAATGAAACAACTTTCTGCAGAATCAGAAAATAAATTATTTACCTATCAAACTTAGCCCAAAAATTCTTAAAATTTTACAGCATACAATCATAACAGTGGCATAACATAGTCAAATTTCAGACAATTTCGATCACTACACAATTTATTATGAAATTAACATGAAACTGACCAGAAATCATTCTAATTTATTAAAATAGCTACAGACCTTCTACAATCATGAAATGTTTACAAAAGCCAGATGTTCAACAGAAGACATGACCCTCAAAATTTCAAGGCAAATGGAGCAGTACATAAATTTTAATATTCCAACACTAAAACAGCGGTTATTCAAGTTCGACAATTTCTCCTAGACTCGATTTACAACGAATTCGTCCGAAGTCTTCGTCATAAGACTAAGGCCGATACAACGTTCCAATCCACAGCGACTAATTCACGAGTTGACAAGGTCTCATTCGATTTCTCAAAATCGAAGAGATCGTCAACACTCAATCAATATAGTGAAACAATTAAGAACACATAAAATAGACATCATAGGCATTTATAAATTCGCGAAGCACGATCAACACCTCACATAATCGCACACATAAAATAATACATAGAATTAAATGAGACGGGTCGAGCCTTGTATCGTTCTCGGGATACGATCGAAAAACGTAACGGAGGATCGAACGGAAACAAGCAGCGGCTCGTGGAGGAGCAGCGGCAGTCGGCGACTTGTGGAGGTGCTGCGCAGCATCAATGTTTGCGGCTGGAGTGCTCCGACGTGACGAGGGACGTCTGGGGAGTTGCTGCTCGAATCGCGACGTCGGTTGCTGCGTTCGGGGATAGCCGGAAACGGGCCAGCGAGTTAGGTTCTTCGCAAACAGAGGAGGAAGACGACGACTTGCAACGGGGTCGTCTGAGCTTGTCAGAAGGGGTTGGTCACGGAGTCTAGTCGTGACAGGGTTCGCCGGAAGCCGCTGCGCGGGATCGGAGACGTAGGGTTCTCGACGTCGGGATGGCGATCAGATGTGACAGGAATAATATGGTGATGATGATGATGATGATGATGATGATGATGATGATGAGGGTCAGCGAGGGTGGTGAAGGACAAAGGTGATGATCGGGACTGATCTCTCTGCTCTGCTCAAACGCGCGATCGAGAGAAAACGAAGAAAAGAAAAAGGCTGCGGGTGTTATGACTTTTCTCTCTACTAACGAGCGAGATAAAAGATTAAATAAGCTAGGGTTAAAAGTCTTGATGTACAAGAAAACCCACAACTTTGGGCGGGTCGGGTCGGGTCTGACGGGCCGGATCGCACGGTTCGGGGCTAGTTCGGGCGAGGCTCAAGGAAACGATTCGGCTCTCGGGCCCGACTAGACGTAGCACTAATTCGGTTCCGAAAATTAAAGTTGCACGATAAAAATAAATAACCCGGTTATTATTTATATATATATTACATACAAATAAAATATAAAATAATGATATTAATAATAATACAAATACACACATTTTAATTAAATAATAATACTTAAACAATTAGGCATTTAATTATAATTTGACAAATAAATCATATAAGACATTTAATAATTTTTAGCATTCAATAAATAATAAGAACAACAAATAAACAATAATAATAATAATAATAAATAATTTCCAAAAATTCCATAATCAAATGGGGCATTACAGCTTAGGTGAGACGGACAGGCTTTCGCCCTATAGAGGTCGTCGCCCAGTTCCGCGAGCTTAGGTGAGACCGGCAGACTTTCACCCTACGAAGGTCATCGCCTAGCTCCGCGAGCTTAGGAGAGACTAACAGGCTTTCGCCCTAACACATTCTATACTAGAGAAGAATAGAGTTGATAAAACTTCAAAAACAATCTCATTATTGGTCTTGTTGAAAGAGCAAAAGCAAATGCAAACAAACGTAAATAACACTTCTTAAGCTAGGCATAATATTTCTTCAAATGGGATATGTTCCAGGGTCGCGGCAGCAGCCGCCCCTCTACATCACAAAGCTCATAGGCGCCTCCAGCGAATACCCTTTCAACAGTATAGGGTCCCTCCCAGTTGGGCTCCAGCTTCCCCACATGGTTCAGAGCATCCACCTGACGCCAAACCAATTCCCCGACCTGGAAACGCCGATCTCGAATTGACTTATCATGGGCAGCCTTCATCCGCTGCTTGTAAACTGTTGTCCTCAATCCAGCCTGGTCCCGCAACTCGTCCACCAAGTCCAGTGCTTCCCTCTGGAGCTCGACATGCCCTTCTTCTGTGTAGGTGCTAACCCGTTCTGAGTTGAGGCCGGCCTCAACTGGAATGACGGCCTCCATACCATAAACCAATAAAGGGAGTCTCTCCCGTCGAGGTCCTCGGTGTCGTCCGGTATGACCAAAGCACCGAATCAAGTTCATCCACCCAAGCTCCTGAGGCTCTTTCCAACCTAGCCTTCAATCCGTTTACAATTGACCTATTAGCGACCTCGGCCTGCCCATTTGCCTAGGGATGGGCTACCGAAGCGAATTTCTGTATGATGCCCATCTCCTCGCACCAACTCATCGTACGCCGACCCCTGAACTGAGTGCCATTATCGGATATGAGCACTCGGGGGATGCCATATTGGTAGCAGATATTATTGAAAAGAAATTTTATCACCCTCTCTTCTGTGATCGTCGCTAATGGCTCGGCCTCAATCCACTTGGAGAAGTAATCGACTGCCACAATCAAGAACTTTCACTGGCCCGTCGCCTGGGGTAAGGGTCCAACTATGTCAACCCCCCACTAAGTAAATGGCAAGGGCGAGCAGATTGGAACCATGCTTTCCGCCGACCGATGGATCAATGGACCATGCTGGTGACACTTCTTATATTTTCGCACAAGATCCTGCGCCGTCGTCCTCATCTTAGGCCAAAAATATCCAGCCCGCAGTACCTTCCCAACCAACGCCCTAGCCTTTATGCGGTCGCCGCAGCATCCTTCGTGCACCTCCCTAAGCACGTACTCCCTATCTTGTTCGGAGGCACACTTGAGATGAGGCCCCATATATGACCGTTTGTATAGGATCCCATTCTGCAAGTAGAACCTCAACGCTTGTCGCCCAACCGGGTCATCTCTGATATCCTTTCCCGCGACAGGCTCCTACAACCATTGTATTAGGGGCGACCTCCAATCCTTTTGCTCCTCAACCTCCAGCACCTGGTTTAAGGTGCTCCTAGTCATATCCATCAGCGTGACCGAGCGAGATCGGCAGTCAACAAGTGACGCGGCCATCTTCGAAAGTAGGTCGGCCCTACCGTTTTCCCCCTGTGGTATCTGTATCAACTCCCAAGTCATAAATCCCTTTAACATTACACGGACCTCCACCAGATACTTCTTCATGCGCTCCTTCTTAACTTTATACTCACCCCTGATTTGTTCAACCACGAGCTGAGAGTCCGAGGGAATGATCACATGCCAAGCTCCTTCCTTCAAGACGAGCTGAATTCCCTTGATGAGAGCTTCGTACTCCGCCTTATTGTTCGACACTCTGAAAGACAGCTTAACCGCAAACTCCAAGTGATCTTTTTCTGGTGTGACCACCAAGATGCCGAGACCTGCTCCTCCTACTGCCGACGAGCTGTCGACATACACCATCCAAGGTCCAGCCTCGGCTCCCAATGTACACTCTTGTATGAAGTCAGCTAACGCTCGGGCCTTAATAGCTTTTCGCCCCTCAAAGTGGACATTTTATTCGCCTAGCTCAACTGCCCACTTCACCATCCTCCCCGAGGCCGAAGGGCGACCTAAGGAGTCTTTGAACGGGTAGTTAGTCCGGACCATAACCTTGTGTGCTAGAAAATAGGGACGCAACTTTTGAGCTGTAGAGATAAGCGCCAGAGCGACCTTCTCCACGTCTGAATACCGGCGCTCGGTGCCTTGCAATATCCGACTAGCATAGTATATTAGCTTCTGTAGTCCCTGCTCCTCCTTTATCAACACCGAACTAATGGCTTCGTGTCCCACCGATAGATAAACGACTAATGTGTCGTCTGGCTCCGGTTTTGTAAGTAAAGGGAGTTCAGCCAGAAACTCTTTCAACCTCTCGAATGCATGTTGTGCTTGCGACGTCCACTCAAAACGAGATCCCTTCTTCAAAGCCCTAAAGAACGGAAATTTTTTTTCCACAGATTGAGATATGAACCTGCTCAACTTGCTAGGCGTCCGGTGAGAATCTGCACCTCCCTCAAGTTCCTTGGTGCCTGCATCTCCATGACCACTCGTACCTTTTGTGGGTTGACTTCAATGCCCCTCTCCGTCACCAGGTAACCCAAAAATTTTCCCGACCTTACCCTGAACTTACACTTGGTCGGGTTGAGCTTCATGCCATATCGTCGCAAAGTATCGAAGGTCTCGCGCAAGTCTGCCACATGGTCATCCGCCTTCCTACTCTTCACCAGCATGTCATCAACATAGACCTCCATGTTTCGACCTAACTGCCCTTTGAACATTTTATCTACCAACCGTTGATAAGTGGCTCCTGCATTTCTCAACCCGAAAGGCATGACAATGTAGTAATAAGTGCTCTTGGATGTCATAAAACTAACCCTCTTCTGGTCCTCCTCGGCAAGAGGGATCTGGTGGTACTCTTGAGAGGCATCCATCATGCTCAACAACTCGCATCCAACTGTAGAGTCGACGAGCTGGTCAATACGTGGTTGGGGGTAATGGTCTTTAGGGCAAGATTTGGTGTCGGTCCTGTTCCAAGAGCCCTCTTTGTCCACGCCTCATCCATATCCTTCGTCAAGTTCTTCTTCGAGTTATCTCCTGCCATGATCCCCGTCGCCCTTCTTCTTCTTTGGTGAGAAAAAACAGCCAATGATACTCTGGTAGAAGACTGAGCTTTCCCACATACGGCGCCAATTTGTTATACCACAAATACCTGAACCGCTCGACCGCCCCTCTCAAACTGGATTGCGCTTCCTTGATCGTCGATACCTGCAAAACACGCCGGGGTTGGTCCCGGCGTGGACACTTCGACGATCAAGTCAGTGGTGGTGTTTCGGAGAGAAAACGGTAGAGTAACGAGATAATATGTGTATGTGTGTTGTGTAAAATGAATAAACCTGTGACCTTTTATAGGTGAAGTTGAAGACTCCTCATGAGACAAGAAGTCTTTCCCGTGTGAATCTCTTAATCAGGTCCAGAGATCCCTGAATCTTGAGAGTCCTTGAGGTTGTGAACCTCTTCATGACTTGGTCACGAAGCCACCTCCAGGCCCTGGTCCCCTCGACAGAACCCTCTGGCCGAGCTGCTCAGAGGCCGAGGTGCCTAGCCGCTGAAATGCCTAGCCACTTGAGATGCTAGCTGCCTAGGCGATCTCACCCGCCTAGCACATCACTCTTAGTATTCCGCCTAGCTCACGCCAAGCTAATCTCCGCCTAGCTAGTCGACCCACGCCTAACTGGTTGAACCATGCCTAGCTGTCACCAAGTTCGACTTATGACCGGTCCTTTATGAACCGCTACTTATGGTCTTATCACAATGGTTGCAGGAGTCTGTCGCGGGAAAGGATATCAGAGATGACCCAGTCGGGCGACGAGATTTGAGGTTCTACTTGCAATATGGATCCTATACAAACGATCATATATGGGGCCTCATCTTAGGTGCGTCTCTGAAAAAGATGGGGAGTACGTGCTTAGGGAGGTGCACGAGGGATGCTGCGGCGACCACATAAAGGCTAGGGTGTTGGTTGGGAAGGTACTGCGTGCTGGATATTTTTGGCCTAAGATGAGGACGATGGCGCAGGATCTTGTGCGAAAATGTAAGAAGTGTCAGCAGCATGGTCCATTGATCCATCGGCCAGCGGAAAGAATGGTTCCAATCAGCTCGCCCTTGCCTTTTACTCAGTGGGGGGTTTACATAGTTGGACCCTTACCCCAGACGGCGGGTCAGCGAAAGTTCTTGATTGTGGCGGTCGATTACTTCTCCAAGTGGATTAAGGCCGATCCATTAGCGAGGATCACATAAGAGAGGGTGATAAAATTTCTTTTCAATAATATCTGCTGCCGATACGGCATCCCCCGAGTGCTCATATATAATAATGGCACTTAGTTTAGGGGTCGGCGTATGATGAGTTGGTGCGAGGAGAAGGGCATCAAACAGAAATTCGCTTCGGTAGCCCACCCCCAGGAAAATGGGCAGGCCGAGGTCGCAAATAGGTCAATTCTTAATGCATTGAAGGCTAGGTTGGACAGAGCCTCAGGAGCTCGGGTGGATGAACTTGATTCGGTGCTTTGGTCATATCGGACGATGCCGAGGACCTCGACGGGAGAGACTCCATTTAGTTTGGTTAATGGTATGGAGGCTATCATTCCGGTTGAGGTCGGCCTCAACTCAGAACGGGTTAGCACCTACACGGAAGAAGGGAATGTCGAGCTCCGGAGGGAGGCACTGGACTTGGTAGATGAGTTGCGGGACCAGGTTGGGTTGAGGACAGCAGTTTATAAGCAGCAGATGAAGGCTGCTCATGACAAGTCAATTCGAGCTCGGCGTTTTCAGGTCGGGGACTTGGTTTGGCGTCAGGCGGATGCTCTGAAGCATGTGGGGAAGTTGGAGCCCAACTGGGAGGGACCCTATACTTTTGAAAGGGTATTCGCTGGAGGTGCCTACGAGCTTCGTGATGCTGAGGGGCGGCTGCTGCGGCGACCCTGGAACATATCGCATTTGAAGAAATATTATGCCTAGCTTAAGAAGTGTTATTTACGTTTGTTTGCATTTGCTTTTGTTCTTTCAACAAGACCAATAATGAGATTGTTTTTGAAGTTTTATCAACTCTATTCTTCTCTAGTATGGAATGTGTTAGGGCGAAAGCCTGTTAGTCTCTCCTAAGCTCGCGGAGCTAGGCGACGACCTTCGTAGGGTGAAAGCCTGTTAGTCTCACCTAAGCTCGTGGAGCTAGGCGACGACCTTCGTAGGGCGAAAGCCTGTTAGTCTCTCCTAAGCTCGCGGAGCTAGGAGACGACCTTCGTAGGGCGAAAGCCTGTTAGTCTCTCCTAAGCTCGCGAAGCTAGGTGACGACCTTCGTAGGGCGAAAGCTTGTTCGTCTCACTTAAGCTCGCGGGGCTAGGTAACGACCCTTGTAGAGCGAAGGCCTGTTAGCCTCACCTACGCTCGCGGAGCTAGGCGATGACCCCTATAGTTTGCAAGGCCGTCGCATGAGGTTGGGCGGGCGAGTCTTAAAAGACTTAGCAATAACTGTGCTAGGTGCAAAATCCCATTGTCACGATGCTAAGTATGTGATAGACTTAGTGAATGAAGCTCGTCAAGAAAGGAGAGAAATTGCTGCTCGTGCAGTGACGAGTTATTTAAGTATGCGACAATTGACACTAAGTAGCGGTAAAATGTAAACGTGGCATTAAAGCATAGTGCCGACATGCAATGATTAAAGACGGTTCGTAGAAGTTAGAACGGAAAAATGTGTTCCATTGGACATACCAAAACATACGACTAAACGAGTTTGAGGTTACATGCCAAAATAATAGGAGTTCGTTCAAATGCTCTACTTCAACACAAAAGGAAATCACATAACTCTAAGGAGGTGGCGAGTCGTAGATCTTCTCTACATCTGCCCCGACCTTTTTCGCAACAGTAGTCACGGCAGCCTCCAAACCTCCATCCCACCAAGGATGGTCCGGGGGAAGAGACTTGTCGCCGTTCCATCCAGCTGGGGTAGGGACGCCTTTCATCAGCGCGTCCTCATCCAAGGAGATGGTGAAGCCTTGGTTCTTCGCCTCGGCTTGGGTACGAATGACCCCCTCATGGAAATATTGGCGGCAGGCTATGCCAATTCGCCGGAGGAACGCTACGGAGTCATGGTAGTGTGACAGCAGCTCGGCCCGGAAGCTCTCGAGGAAGTGCTGTCCTACATCCGATGAAAGGAAAGATCCCTGGCCATCCCTTTGTGCCTGAGCAACGTGCTCATCAACTGACTCTCGAAGCTTTTTAAGCTCGGCGTCTTTGGCTTTGAGCTCGACGTCTTTAGCTTTAAGCTCGGCCTCTTTAGCTTGGAACTCGGCTAGGAGCTTCTGCAATTTGGCCTTTTGACGATCGAGGGCCTTTTGAAGGTCGGCAAGTCGCTTCTCGCCCTTTTCCACCTCGTCATCCTCGTCCTCCAATTG